AGTTATGACTGTATTTTATAAGTGGAGAGAATATAGGTAATCAATTAATTAATCTTTCAACACAAACCGTGATGGACAGAGAACCGACTAATTGGTGATGTTTCCTTTCACTCCGATTAGGTGGGGATTTTAGGCAGAAACAGATCACGTGGATATCATCACCATATTCGTAATGCGGCCTTGACAGCTTGTATTAATCTTCAGTAAGGGCTATTGTTATCTGAAGTTTGAAAGCATTGCAAGAAGAAAAACCATTGCACACAGTGCTTAAATCATAATACACATATTTCAAGGTCCAAATCAGATTTTCGTATAATTAGCGGTAGTGCTGAAAGATTAATTAATTGATTACCTATATTCTCTCCACTTATAAAATACAGTCATAACTCATTCGAAGCGAAAGCACAACAACTCCTGATATCTTTACCTCATGCTTAAAAATACTGTTATTTCCAGTTATTTTAGGTACGATGGACCCATGGTATGTATCGTCAATTAACATGTGAAGATATGTGAGTTTTCGTTTATGTTATATGTCAGGAAGTGACGAGCGCGTTGTGAAAGGTGCATGGTGGAAAACAAAATGAATATGCAAAGTAAGCAGATTAAACTTACAGTTTGAAGTATCTAATTAGATAGAAATATAGTGTGTATCTGGATTCTCGCGAGAAAACATATCTAGACTCTGATTTACTGCAGAAGCATGCAAACAATAAGAACTCTATCTATCCTTCACTGTGATTTAAATATGAAAAGCATTATTATAATTGATCTTACCGCCAGATGCGCCAGTAGTCACTGGTGCGCTGGAAACAGGATTACCAGCTTGATTCGTAGCGACAGTAACAGGATTACCAGCTTGATTCGTAACGACAGTAACAGGATTACCAGCTTGACTCGTAACGACAGTAACAGGATTACCAGCTTGATCAGTAGCGACAGTAACAGGATTACCAGCTTGACTCGTAACGACAGTAACAGGATTATCAGCTTGGTCAGCAGCGACAGTAACGGGATTACCGGCTTGACCGGTAACCATAGTAATAAGATTACCAGCTTGATCAGTAGCAACAGTAGCAGGATTGCCAGCTTGATTCGTAGCGACAGTAACAGGATTACCAGATTTATCAATAGCGATAGTAACAGGATTACCAGCTTTGTCGGTAACCATAGTAATAGGATTACCAGCTTGATCGGTAGCGACAGTAACAGGATTACCGGCTTGATCAGTAGCAACAGTAACAGGATTACCAGCTTGATCGGTAGCGACAGTAACAGGATTACCAGCTTGATCAGTAGCAACAGTAACAGGATTACCAGCTTGATCAGTAGCAACAGTAACAGGATTACCAGCTTGATTCGTGGCGACAGTAGGAGGTTGCGTGACGGCGCCTAGAAGATAGTGTAATTGCTATAAACGTGTGCCATAATATATCTAACACAAATTAGAGAGCCAGAATCGATTCAAGGAGCGTTTTTCCTGTTTTTGTTACATCTCTCGGTATCTGACAAACAGTGGAAGATGCATGGTGAAAAGTGAAATGAATTGGCAAAGGAGATAGAATTAAACTGCCGGTCAGAAGCTATCAGATAAAAACATACGCTAGATGTCGATTCTTGTAAGAAAACATATCTGAAGTATGATTTAGTGGGAAAGTACATCTGGCAGCAGATGTGTCTGAAGAACAAAGTTCAGGTTTTAGAAAATGTCTGAGATGGATAGCCAAGCGCAAACACTTGATCAGATGCAGATACTATTTGATCATTCTCTCGTCAGACCGGCATACAATAGAAGAAACTTAGTTACGTGTGTTAGACTTCGTTACTCCCGTTCCTGATTGACGTGCTAAATAATAATAAAGTCATGTATTAGTTCATTATGTTTGATGGAAAAATGTTCTCTCATTGATGCATGTAATATCCGCGACAATTACAGGGAGTTTCTCTGCAAATGTTGAGATCTGTTTCATTCAAAACAGCGTGTGGCAGTCGGATGAAAAAAGCACCGAGTAGACGCGCTTTTGAGACAAGTGGACGATGTTATAAAGAATGTTTAGGCGAAAAGTGGGTAACACTTCTGGCTTTGAACGGACATCTTCACGCTCGGCTATTGGAGGATCGACATTTTCGTCATATGCATCTCAAAGACAAAATTTTCCGCGTATTCAGCGTATGAAAGAAAACTTTGAACAGAATGATGTGAGTATGTCGAATGAGTGTTCATTTATCTGCTGTTCTCTGTCTATTTTGATAAGTGACTTATCATAAGTGACTTATTTTCCAAAATAAAATGGTTGGAAACAACTGTGTCTCAGCTACTCTTTTTAAGATGATTTTCCACAGAGAGAGAAGAACTTTTTTGTACCCTCTATCTTTGCTGCAACACATCAATTTCATTCTAGAGTTATGCACAAAATGATCATACGATGCTTTTCCAACTTTTCTTTTCATGGAGTGGCTGAGAATGGTTTTTCCAAACATTATATCTGTCTGTTATGATCTGCCATTCCTGGCAGCTCATAAGACTAAGTTCTCTTCTTCTTTTCCTTTTTTTTCTGTTTTGCAATTGTTTTCCCAACTCTTTCTGTTCTTGCGCAACTCCTGCGCAACTCTTGCATAACTGTTGTTCAACTTATGTACTATATATAGCCGGTCACTTTCTTAAATAAAGATGAGAAGTGAGTGAGTAGAACCTCACACTGTCTAGAAACAGTAGCCTTCCTTCATGCATGAGGCACTTTTTGGAGCGTGCAGAAATTGAGTTTATACTGAAGATTATTCAGCGACAAAGCATTAGCTATCCCTTTCTCGGGCGATAATGACTCCGTAAATACTTAACTTCACACAGTAGACACTGTGTGAACAGATAATCTACTGACGTTCCATGCTCGGTGTCGACGCATCCACAGAATGATGTGCTATTCATAGAATTAGAAAATCTTTAGTTACCTGTGGTTCCTCCTGATTGACCTACAAAAGAACAACAAATGTAGATGAAGAAGATCTGCGACACAAAGAGATTGTCAAGAACAAATAATGACCACAACGAGAGGAATGTTACGATATGCATGCTATGTTACAATATTCACTGCTAATCATTGTGTATATGTACCTGGTCTTGTCTGTTTTGTCTGACCAGAAACACCGGCACCTAAACATAAGTACGTACTATAAATTCTGTTCTGCACTGTAGTCAGCTTTTTAGTCAAGACATTGCTATTGTATTTCTAGTGAAGTCATTTAGCTTTGATTCACTTTCACCGTATATCAGATCGAGTTGCAAGTGTGGATTAAGACGAAACTGTATTCGATGATTGATTAATGCGAGATTTTCGGGTAGTAGCCAGGAAAATGGAAATGAGATAAACGGCTCGTTTATGGCGAGTTAATTGGCTATTTTTTGGTCATTTTTATATCATTTTTATCCCATAAACGGTATCGTTATTCGATCGTATTTTGACCGTTTGTTTTACTGGGTAAAAATGATTTTTGTGTCATTTCTCAGACATTAATGAGCCGCTTTTAAATTAATTAATTGGATAGTCGATAAACGCCAGAGTTGTAACCGCTCAGTCCGGTCTGGTTCGACCGGTTTAAATTTCAGACTAGTTGGTCTAAAAATATTTCCAGACCGGTAAAAACCGGCTAGTTCACCCAGTTTTTTCAAGTAATAAAATTAATATTACGTACAAAATTTTGTTCTGAATACCTAGAGAAATTTGGGAAGAGATTCACTATGTCAAATAACCAAGCCAATTACGACGAATTTGCATCTCAGTTAGGAAGCTACGGTATCGGCATATCGAAAGTAAAAAATTTGATTAATATCAAAAAAAAAGATAAAGAAAAAAGCATTTAAACGCCCAATACGTGACAGTGTTCTGATTACTATCCCAGGTCCATGATTACGACCGCCCTATATGGTCGTATACGTCAAATTACGACGACGTAATTTGGCGTATACTGTGGTATTTCGTCGTATTTTAATAACTCGTCGTAAACTCGGCCAACGTATTACGTTAGCCGTTCCGACCGTCGTATTTCAACGTAAACGGCATCGTTTACGATGGACGTAATACGTTAGCCAGGTTTACGTCAAAATACGACGAAATACTATAGTATACGGTTGTGAATCTTTGATCTGGGAAGATATTTTAAACAGTAAATAATATGACTTTGTCTTTGAAAACAAATTCAAAGAATAAAAAACATAGAATTTACATTTCAAATAAAATTGTCGCTCTTTCTTTCTTTTAAAAGAGCTACTAAAATCGTAAGCAGACATACATAATGTCTTCCAGATGAAAAATGAACGAATATGCACAACTTTGTGGAACCGGCCGGTCCAACTGACTCAATCGATCCGGTCCGGCACCGGATCGGTTACAACTCTGATAAACAGTCGTTGTCGATGATCATAAATACATTATTTTTGCCTCATTTGTGAGACAAGTATTAGTCATTTTTATCTCATTCGAATGATATAATTATGACTGTAAAATGATACCATCGGCTGAATCAGTTGTGGGAGTCATTTTACGGTCATAATTACAGCATTCGGATGACGTAAAAAGGGGCAAGTATGAACAATTAATGACGTAAAAACGAGGTATTTATAGCCATTAAAAAGCAGCGCTTTTACCATCAAACATATTTTCTTATATCGATTTTACCGCAATTTTGACATACTACATGAGTTTTGTTGATCTGATTCTACTTTTCATCCACGTTTAATTTTCTACGCTAGTACATAATCTTCTCTCCTATAATACTCGGCTAGACCTTAAGTTGCTAAGTGAACAGCGATTGATTTGGCGAAATGTACGTTAGGAAAAAGACTAAATAAAATCAAGCTAAAAAATAAGCTTTATGAGTGGCTAAGATTTCATAGCAAAGTCGCCAATAAAATGTCTTCTGGAACCAGTCTTATAAAAGAGGACTGTAATATACAGGCATTTTCAATAAATTGCACTAAATGTTAATGCAGTTTTCTATCACTTCCTATTCATAAAAAAGTTTCCTTTATATGTCAGACTGTATAGTTATTGGACGAGAAAATAAATGATCTCGGAAAATTAGCAGAATGGATCCCGTATATAAAAAAAAGATAGACAAAATCGGAAAAATAAATTTATCCATTTCTGCATAAAAGATCTCGCAAAACAAAAGAAAAAAGACTGTATGAATGGTGATCGGGGATGAAAACATGTGTCTTGACCACGTTGGAATCCTATTGTTACAGTTATATCATACAGTAAGTATCTTCTTGTACCATGTAGCTGTTTCTTTTTCGTAATATAAATACAAATGGTGTTACAAAAGGTTTTGTTAAATGCTGCAGCGATCGAGGAAAGAAAGAGTAACAACGATAGAATGGGGAAAGTCTGTTTTTTCGAGATCTTTTATGCAGAAACAGACAAATTTTTTTTTCTGTCTCCCTTTTGTAGGTGGGATCCATTGTGCTAATTTTCCGAGATCCTTTCTGATATTATCCTATTCAGTTTTACTTTACTTAGAGAATGTAATACTGTATTTGTGAATATTTCAGTCATTTAGAGTCATACTGTTTTCAAAAACAAATTAGCCCTAAACATTTACAGAAGCCAACGAATAGAAAAAAAACAGAGTATGCTTTTCTGAACCTTACTTAAGTCAAAACATACGTTCGTGCGCTTTATTCATTTTAAAATCAAAGTCAGCATTAAGTTTCAAATTTCTCATAGCCACAGAAACTAAGTACGTTTTTCCTCAGATTCTAGAAGTCTCGTTACTTTCACACAAATTCTTGACTCGAACAAAATAGAAGAGCTGTGTGTGTTAATGTGACAGTACCTTGATCATAATATATCTAAAGCCGCCTAAACATTTTGGAGCAAAACTGTGAGTAGGAAAGTTGTTCAGAATCAAATTCTAGAGTTCCACATCAGAGCTTTTTCAAAAGTTTCTTTCTTTGGTTCTTAAATTAAATTTTAATATTCCATATTTCTGAATTTTGAAACCAAACAAAGAAACTTTTGAAAAAAGCTCTCGTGAGGAACTCCAGAACCAGATAGATCTAAGAGAATAGAAACACATCAACAGAAACGATGTCCAGTCCATCTTTAGACCATAGCCTTTCAGCACAAACTAAAACCTGTGGCTAAGTCTTCTTTATATGCAAGAAAGATCCCCAAGAGAAAAAGATGTTCTTATCTTTAAGTGCTATAGCGTCTTTCTTGTAGAATCTGCCCACTTTTCTCGAAGAAATCAGATTATATTGATACCAGTGCAGCTGGAAAAACAGAGTATGCACACACGCTGTGCAAAAGAATCTCACTAAAAACACGAAGAGAAGATACATAACTAATTAGAGTTATTTCGCGAATGTGGGTACTATTTTTGTTTTTGAAAAGCGTTCAATTGGATTCTTTTGAATATTCTTTATTCTCTCAAGATTTGTAAAATCTGTCTACACCTTGATCATCTTTGCCATGAATAAGGATCATCACCGGAACAAAAAACTTAAAGTTGGTTTTGAATTTTTGAAAAGAGCTTTGTCGTATTCAGCACACTGAATAACCCAGAGTGATTTTCTATTTTTGGTGAGGGATATTTCTAAAGGTTTAGGAAAATTTTGAAATAAAATGGCGCAAAAAAATAATATTAGTTTGAAAATTGTTCACCCCTCGCCGAAAATAGAAAATCTTCTGGATTATCGAGTGGGCTGAATATGAAAAAGCACTTTTCAGCAACTTAAGACCAAATGTATTTTTTTTTCGGCGAAAAAATAACAAAAAAGTGGGGTTCAGATGCGTTCACATGCATTAATCTCTAATGTGTGTAATGGCGTTAGACCACTTTTAAAGCCTGCGAAAGTATTGAACGAACGAAGAAACTTTTTAATGCCTTCAATCGTTACAGAATTTCGTACATTTGAATGCACTAGCTTTTCTAATGCGTGTGAACGCGTCAGATTAATCTGAATACATGTAAATGCATTAAATGGACGATTTTTATACATTCGAACGCGTACAAAATTTTAAGAAGTTTAAATGCGCTGGTTAATAAGGCATTTGAAGATGTTGACTGTGTAAAAATGCATTAGGAAAGTTAAAAAGTTTAAGATTCTCAAATATATTAACTTTTAAGGTATGCGAAAGAGTTAAAATCTTTTATTTTCCATTTAATGAGTATAGGCGTATTAAAGGTACAAAATGCCGATTTTAACGAGTTCAAAGGAAATTTTTGGTATCGAAAAATCCATTGGGAACATCGAACACATTTTAACGTTATAAATTGATGGTATTACAATGCGTTAATTATTTAGGCGTTGTAACGCTATACGTGATAGTAGTAATAGGTGTCCTGAGTTCAAGTTACTAACGTATATGTTTGATATAGTCCAAATTATCTTTCCCAGACCAATGTTTCGAGAAGAACCGATTGGGCAGTCTCAGAATTTCATGGAAATGTGTCTTTTACGAGAAAACCATGTATTTTCGTTCTGCATATTGTGTAACTCGTTATAACGCATTAATACCTAATATGTTACACCGCGTTCCATTTTCTTATTGTATTGTATTTAGACAGAAAAGAAGAAGGCATCGTAATCTATTCGATATTAATTCGTTAGAATACAATATGCATTATCTAATGAGTTATAACACTATAAAAGATTTTTTTCAAATTTTACAGCATTACAACGCGCTACAACATCTCTATAACATTAGAACTGATTAGTTGATGATCCGTTACAACGTATTTCATACTTTTGTAGCGTTTGCATAAGTTTTTCATTTTTAGGTTCATTCATAAGACGGAACCGGCATACTGTAGTTAAAGAGAAATCAGTAGAATAAAAAAACAGCGGAAGATGGTCTTATAGGTAATCTGAAACAGACTATTTAAAATTCACGTTTTTGACAGGAGAACACACGAGGTAATTATGTCATTATAACGCGAACGACGTCTTCTAAAGCGCTGAAATATTTTTTCTAAACTTTATACGAGTATAATTTATTACATAATGTCTCTCATTACAACTAATGCATTATAATACATTACGAGATGTTTAGAACGTTATAAATCATTAGACAGTCGTAAGTCGTTATTATGCACTAAAATTGAATGAGTTGCAATACCATAGACATTATGTAATGCATCATATGCTATAAATGCATACTCAAACGTATCCTAATACATTAGATTCTAACGTATTATACGGCGATAGACAAATCTAATTGAGTTGTAACGGGATAAAAACCTGAACCGCATTATAAAGCTATAAAGCTATAGAGTTGTAATACAATAGAAATTTCTATCCAGCTACAACGCCACAAATTCCGGAAAAACAACTTTCCGATGCCTTACAATACGCTGGGCTGCGTCTATCGCGATGTAATCAGATAAATTTATGCCGTTGTTACACCATAGCTTAAGAAAACGCACGTTCCGCCACGAATAGAGAAAAACCATGCCATGGGAATAATGTATTATTCCCTTTATTACAAAAAATTCAGTTACCGGTCGTTTCTAAAAACTTAATTATTCGTGTTGTTCGATTGCAGTAGCAACCGATGTCACAATGACTGAGAACGTGTCTCAAGCAGAAAGTTCAGCTTTAAGAAAATGTCTGAGGTGGATAGCGAAGTGAAAACACTTGATCAGATGCAAATACTATTTGATCATTCTCTCGTCAGACCGACGTACAATACAAGAAACTTAGTTACCTGTATTAGACTTGGTTACTCCAGTTCCTGATTGACGTGCTAAATAATAACAAATTCATGTATTAGCTGACTGTTGACAGACTGATGTACTATTCATACAATTACAAAATCTTAAGTTACCTGTGGTTCCTCCTGATTGACCTACAAAACAACAACAAATGTAGATGAAGACGATCTACGACACAAAGAGATTGTCAAGAACAGATGCATGCTGTGTTACAATATTCACTGCTAATCATTGTGTATATGTACCTGGTCTTGGCTGTTTTGTATGACCAGAAACATTGTCAACCCCACCCGGTTTAGGTGCTAAATAATAACAAAGTCATGTATTAGTTCATTATGTTTGATGGAAAAATGTTCTCTCATTGATGCATGTAATATCCGCGACAATTACAGAGCAAATGTTGAGATCTGTTTCATTCAAAACAGCGTGGTAGTCGGATGAAGAAAGCGTCGAGTAGAGGCGTTTCTGAGACAAGTGGACCATGTTATAAAGACTATTTATGCAAAAAGTGGTCAACGGACATCTCCACGCTCTGCTTTTGGAGGATCGACATTTTTGTCATACAGATCTCAAAGATGAAACTTTTCCGCGAATTCAGCATATGAAAGAAAACTTTGAACAGAATCATGTACTATTCATAGAATTAGAAAATCTTTAGTTACCTGTGGTTCCTCCTGATTGACCTACAAAAGAACAACAAATGTAGATGAAGAAGATCTACGACACAAAGAGATTGTCAAGAACAGATGCATGCTGTGTTACAATATTCACTGCTAATCATTGTGTATATGTACCTGCAGGTTTTGTCTGACCAGAAACACCGGCACCTACATGGATGTTAAACGTTTATGAGTGACAAATATTTGCTGAATCAAAACACTTCGCCAAAAACTGTTAGTCTAGGTCTTTTCTCAGACATTCTTCAGAAAATAATTTTTCGTTTTCTGAAAACACTTGATCACATGCAGCTACTATTTGATCACTCTCTCGTCAGACCGGCATATAATAGAAGAAACTTAGTTACCTATATTGGACTTCGTTACTCCCGTTCCTGATTGACATGCTAAACAATAACAAAGTCATGTATTAGTTCATTATGTTTGATGGAAAAATGTTCTCTCATTGATGCATGTAATATTCGCGACAATTACAGGGAGTTTCTCTGCAAATGTTGAGATCTGTTTCATTCAAAACAGCGTGGTAGTCGGATGAAGAAAGCGTCGAGTAGAGACGTTTCTGAGACAACTGGACCATGTTATAAAGACTATTTATGCAAAAAGTGGTCAACGGACATCTCCACGCTCTGCTTTTGGAGGATCGACATTTTTGTCATACAGATCTCAAAGATGAAACTTTTCCGCGAATCCAGCATATGAAAGAAAACTTTGAACAGAATGATGTGAGTGTGTGAACTGAGTGTTCATTTAACTGAAGTTCTCCAAATTGAAGGTTCCATTGAAAAATAATGAAGAAAACACGAAGAGGATGAAAAATCTAGCATTGAGTCCAAACACCTCAAAGAAGTTATAAATAATTTTATAAAGCTTATGACTTAGTCATTTAAGAGGATGAAAAGTTGGTCGATATCTTGTGTTTTGCGGTGCAGATCACAACTAGTTGAGTAAAAGCAAAATATTGATGTTAACTGGATGATGCGATATTGTGCTTATTCTAATTCCTCTATTATTTCAATTAATTCCGGTAGAATCTGACACGCAAATTTGAAAGACTGAACCATTTGTGGAATTACTCTCTTATTCCGTATGCCAATATTCATCGTTTTACAAAAAGAAAAAAGTTAAAATCTAGTGAAACGAGCCAAAACGTCCATCGTCTCATATTAATTGACTGTCAACGCTGAAACGGGGGCGGGCGTACTCGAAAACAAAGTATAACAAAGGATTGATCGATGTTTATTCTTCAATGTATTATCTACGTCTACTACTTTCTGTAATTTTAGCCTCTTGTAAAAAGTAAGACTATGATGATCGTAACAATTGCTGGATATTTTACTGGATGCTGAATAATCAGTATAGTATTTTCTTTCTTCTCCCTTTTTTAGTTTAGAAGAAACTAATTTCTTCTATAGTAAAAAGTTTAAGTTCCTCTATTGAAATTAAGGTAGAACATTTTTGTCTAGGAGAATATAAACATAGCAGAAAGATGAAGAAAATGCGGGCTTTTCTGAAAAACAAGAAATACAGGTATGATATATTTGAATAAATTACCATATGCTAAAGTGTATAAATTGCTATCTTCTTAGTTGTATTTGTATAAACTGATAAAAATATGTCGTAACTGATAGGATCATCTCAATTTCTCTTCTACCGATAGTTTCTTTTTCAATAAAGACACGAACATAGAGAAAAATTTCGACTCTACCATTAAATAAGAGTGTATCATTTGAACGGTGACGTCATACAACTTTAAAAAAAGCGTATAACATTTTGTGTCATCTGGATCGTAAACGTGATATGACACATACACATATATATATGAAAGAGCTCTTGTTACACATGCTTCAGCGCATTTTGTCAGTAAATAGTGAAAAGTGTTTGTAGCTAAGAATCTCATGCTTTCAAACGTATTCTATCGTATAAGTGCCATACATAAAACTGTTTTAATTTAAATTATTATCTACAATAACAAACATCAGAGCAACAATCCATCATGATCAGCAACAACAAACATCACCAGCAACAATATACGATGATTACGAATTAGACGAAATAAAAAACTTAGAACTTTATAGATTGGTATGATTAAATGCAAATGAAAATAAAACCGAAGATAAGCGACATTTACCAAACAAATTACGTCAAATTATTAATTTTTTAAAATTATTTGATGATAAACGATAAATATACTTTCTTTCGAAGAGAATGTATGGACCGATGAGACGGTTCTGCAAGGGGGAAACAGCGTACTTCAAATACGCCGAAGTACATTAAAATTACGCTAAAGTACTTTGAAATTACAGAAAAGTACTTTAAAGTAGCTCAAAGCACTTTATAGTAGCCAAATTAACTAAAAGTACAAAGTACGCTGTGTTCCCCTTGCGGTTCTGTCAGAAGAATACTCATGTCCCAATTGGTCTAGTGGTTAGGATTCCGCCCTTTCACGGCGGCGGCCCGGGTTCGATTCCCGGATTGGGAAGGATTTGTTTTTGCTTCTTTTTCCTTTCTTTCTATTATCGTGCAGCATAAGAACAATAGTCATCGTGCATGTTGTGCTAGATCGCTGTCACGTACTTTATTTCCAAAGAAACAGAACAGAGCAAGAGAGAATGATTATAGAATGCGATACACAGGGACATTTGTTTTCCTCTCAATGTTGATGCTAGGATACAATAACCTTCTTCAAATTCCAGAAGTAGACTAATAATGCAGTGAGAAATCATTCATCTGTAATTTGTTAGTGCGATATTGGCAGATCAACAGTGAAGCACAGTCAAAACTCGAAATCTTCAAACTGCTTTCTTGCACTATAGTATTTAATTTACACGAACAACCGTAAGCAGAATTCTCTCGACTAATCGAATTGATTATGGCTTGAGCTTGGTGAAACAGTATGATACGTATCTGGATGTTCCTTTGTGTCCAAAACGGACTAAAATCCGTTTGTTCTTATTCTTTCCAGTCACCAGAAATGCAATTGAACCAAGAAACACTGAAAATGATGAATAACAACATCTTCTGACGTAAGTAATAGAAAAAGAGAGAGAGAGGTGAGGAAGGACCTTGGATTTCATTTCAGTTTTTCAGACAAGAAGAAGCGGAAAATTCAATTCGTTTCACCTACGTAAAAACAGAAACATGACAAATCGGAATATCGCGTTTGATGATAAACATTATTCTTATAAATTAATACCAGTATTAGATATTTAATACAAAGTCATTAAAATGCCATGGAATAAAAAAGATACCTATGTTTTTACTGATATTATTTTCGATG